CAAGGAAAGGAGCTTCAAAGACATTAATGTTTCCATGCTAGACCTGCTTCTCAGAGGTAGCACTTTATGCCTGTGTGCATGTGTAAAGATACTTTCATACTATATATGATTGTTGGCGTTTTTGGTTTTCTTTATTTATTATTGCATTGCATTATTTTAGGGTCACCTTACAATATAAGTGCCGTGAGGCAACTGTTGTTGTGATTTGGTGCTGTATAAATAAAACTGAATAGAATTGAATCATTATTGGACAGCTTAAAGAAGGAGCGTAACCTGTAGAGGATCCAGGTTAGCTGCGCCATGTCATGGGATTGTACTTTTACATGCAAGAGATGGACATGACATTGAAGTGCTGTAAAATGTTTCTCCTGAGCATTTTTCCCCACTGTTGAACCTCTTGTGTAAAGAGGCCTAGGAAAAGTGTCGTATGGATATGTCCAAAAAAATACTAAGAGGAGAAAAGTGAATGTGTGCCATGTAATTTATGAGTGTTGGAAAGAACAAAGAAGCACAGATGTAGCAGTCAAAATGTCTTTTTGTTATTTGACACAAAATAATATCCAAAAACCATTAAACTATTTTAAGAAATAAATCATCTTGTAACAGAGGTATTACACAACATATTGCCCCAGTAGAATTCCAGTCCACTGGTTAGGCTTCTGTCTTTAATTAGACTATCCAATGCAACAGTTCAGCCAATTGGAGACAAATAAATGCAAAACAAACAACCTCTAGAAAATCAATTTAACTTAAATAATGACTCAAGTTTTCTAAAATTCCGGGGATTGGACACATTTATGGCACCAAAAATGACCATAACTGTGGAGAAGTGTATTATCCAGTGAGAGTGGATGTATATTACCTAAATTTTCTTTAACCTGTGTGGCTGTGGATCTCGGGTGACAGCTACACGACTACTGCTGAATGGGAGCCACTCTCAGATTTGAGTTCATTCTATAGTCAGAACATGCAGATTCTCAGTAAATAGGAGAAAAAAGATTGTCTTGATAACATGTTCGCTTTCTTTGTGCTTGTTTCAGAATCAAAGAATATTCCAGACCCTGAGTTGGTGGTGAAGTTTGGTCCTGTGAACAGCACACTGGGCTTCCTCCCCTGGCACATCAGGCTCACAGAGTTCATGTAAGCTTCTTTACGTCTCAGAATTTGCACGTTTCGATGGACCACTTTTAATAATGGCAATAAAGTATGAAAGTTTGTTTGAATTTTGAAATTGATGTCATTAACTGAATTCACTTTGAAGCGCACTATGTTCAATGCGTAACCTACTCTGTGCCCTCAGCTCCCTGCCATCCCACAGAAATATCTCGTATGAGGACTTGTTGGGTGCCCTGCAGCGGTACGGGGCTTGTCAGCAGCGGCTCGGACAGTGATATTAAATACACAAGTGTGGGCTTTACACAGCCAGGACATCCCGGACAGGTAATGACTACCGTCCCTCATTACTCGTCGGCTCAGCTATGCCCATCTGCTGGACCTCTAATACAACAAGACATTTCAAATATATGGAAACCAGGAAACATAGCCAGCCAATCTTTACCACCAGCTTGTCTTCTAATGAATTCACATTCCAGGACTCATGGAACATGCTCGGTAAAACAAGAAAAAATGGCACTGACGTAAGACTGTCTCCACAGACTCGGTGGTCCTAACACCCTTGTTTGTTTCATTCTGTCATTTACTGCTGATGGAAAAATTGCCTTCACATAGACTATAAAGAAAAAACAAATCTTTGTGTGCAAGCTGCATCACAAGGAAATATAGCAGCAGTTTAGGGGCATGCAGCACAGGAGCTGAACAGCAGAGTGGCTAATGTGTAAATATGAGAAATTCCTGTAGCTCTGTTTGTCTCTGTGGCCTCCAGCTTGCAGTCATGTTCATGTGTAGTGTTGTTTCATGCACATACAGACGGTTGTTCAACATTGTTTTTGGTCTGAAATAAAGAAATGCACTGTGTGTATTTGAGTGTGTTTTTGTGTCTGTTTACACTCTTAGAGGAAAAGAAAGCTCCTTTTATGACAGAATGAACTCTTTCTATTATGATTTAACCTCGACTCACTGTGTGCTTGGACACGACTCAGTTCTTTATATTTTGCTTCAGTGCAGCGAGACTTGTTTGTCATTTTTAAGGTGGTCTTGAATAATAGTTTGTCTGAAGTTTTTCTTCGGACATTAGTCTGAAAATGGTCAGGTACAATGTTGTTTTTTTTGTTGTTTTTTTTTAAAGTCACTTTGCATATAGATCGTTGAATCAAGCATAAATCCAGCTATGAAAAATGCCAACGGTGACATTCTGATGGGCATCAAATAGTATTTGTGCATCAAAAAAGTTTTTAACTGAAAACTTGGCATATTAGCATTCTTTGCATTTTAGTTTTATTATTTCACCAAAACACAACAGTCATCTCAAGGCACATATTGCCATGTCCTTGAGATATAGAAACAGAAAAAATCCTGCAAGGTATTGGCACAAGACCCGTGAGATGGATCTGACCCTTCAGGTGATCCATATGTTTTCGAAGCCTCATGTAAAATAGTTGCTGCCAAGAAGCCATTCTTAAGGAAGCTGAGCAATGCCAAACTACACAATTTTCTTCCCAGACCAATCATTTCAAAGAATCCTGGAGGGGTGACTTGGCCTATGTTATCAATGAATGCTTCACATACCATCTGGAGATCATAGACACCTGCTATTTTATTATTTCTCATCACAGTAATTTTACTTAGTAAAACTTGATAATGAATGCAATATTCTAACCTCACTCATAAGTAAGTAATTCGTTACTGTTACGTCTCCAAGAAAGTAATCCCATTACTTTAAAAAGGTAATCAGATTATGCATTACTGTCCCATCTCTGCTCATAATACACTGAAACCCTTAGTAACTCTCTAGGGTTACATTCAATATAGAAACAGCTTTAGTGAAGGTTACAAATGATCTTGTGGACTCATCTCTGCCTGTCATGCTAGACCTCTGTGCAGTGATCGAAAGTTGATCACATTTTATTACAGCGATTAGCGCCAGCTGTAGGCATTAAAAGGTACCGGGCTATACTTGTTTGAATCATTTAATAGATCTAATATGATCACGGAGATGGAGAGTCCTCTTCACACATTATGGAATTCCACAGGGTCCCATGTCAGGACCAATTCAGTTTACATTATACACGCTTCCCTTATTAGAAGGCATATTTTCATTACTATGCAGATAAAGAGCTCTGTCTGTCCACAAAGACGGATGACACACACCAATAACTTTTTAATAAATCTTAAAAGATTTATGCAGTTAAAGGTCAGCTCCTGGATGATCTCTAATTTTCTACTTCTAAATTCAGAAGTAGAAACAGCGTCGTTGCTTTTGTATCACCTGCGAAGTGCATTGCAACCTGTGCACTGCTGCCCGCGGGACGGAGACCAGTAGCTCCGCAGCTTCTCTGCCGACGCCCCTCCTTCTCCTCCGGTACTCCTCCGAGCACAATGCGCTGATATCCGCACGCTCGGTAAAAGAATGATTTCTTTTGTGTCGACAGTACAGGGTGTTCCCAGAGATACGGGCACCGCAAGCCTTTACCAGCGGATCAGAAAGGTCTTGACGAGGTAAGATGATCGTGATGGCGCTGAACAATTTACATTCACTCTGCGCTCCAAACACAGGCTCTCCATCACACCCGTCAGATTCTGCTGCATACTGAGCAACAGATGTCATCGTAGCATCGTGCAAAGAGCTGTGTGTGTGGAGGGTAAAGCATTCGAGAAGGAGCGTTAATACATTTATAATACATTTCGTTTCATGTTGGTGTCCAGGGCTAGACAAGTTGTGTTGGGTCGGTGTCTGCTGCCGTGCTGCGTTTATCTTTCCGCTAAATTGCTGCTGTCCAGTCCCCGTGTCTGCTAAAGCCTCCGTCACCTCTACTCATTGGCCTCACTCACTGCATCCTTCAAACTCCCTTTGTATTTGCCTACTACATGCCTACCAATACCAATATGTAGGACTGCTCGCTTCCATTTTCGAAACATCTCCAAAATTATAAATATCCCTGTTCACAGTGACGCTGAAAAACTAGTAGTTGGATTTATTATTTTTAGGCATGATTACTGTAATTCGTTATTATTAGAATGTCCTAAAAAAAACTCCCTGGAAAGCCTTCAGTTAATCCAAAATGCTGCAGCGAGAGTACTGACAGGGACTAGAAAGAGAAAGCATATTTCTCCTATATTGGTGTCGTCTATTAGCTTAAACTAGCTCGAATTTATATGTGCAACACATCAACGTTTCAGCTGTGAAAACAACGTGACAAAGTGAAAGAGTCACTTGTAGTAACCTACAGAAAGGCTTAAGTTGATCCTTCTTTTGCAAGATGCGGAAAGTAATCGAATGGGTTCAATAGGTTCTTCCTTTTCTCATGTCCCACATCTCCACCAAGTTTAATCAACATCCTCTTGGTAATTATTGCACAAATAGTTATTTCTGTCTTGGTGGAGGAGGACCATTTCAGTTTTACATAGCTTTATGGTAAGTTCAATTCTAATTCTATTCTATTCTACTTCTAATTTTTAGCTGCCTTCCTTGTACTGTTTTGATTCATTCTCTGTCATTCCAACAGTGGACAACCTTATCAGACACAAACAGTAAGATATCAAGTGATGATCATTTTTGGTTTCCATGGCCGAGCAGCTACATTTAAGCATTACATCACTAAGTACAATATAAAGCATTGGATGCAGTGGTTGGTGTAAACTGGGTATTATGGTCTGGGGTTGTTTTTACAAGCTCCAGTGAAAGGAATTCTTGTTTGTTTCAAACAAACTATTTTGTCTGTTTTTGTCTATTTGTTTCTACCTCCCCACCTGTTGTATTTTTTTTATTGTTTTGGTGTCTTGCCTGTCTTGCCTTAGACATCGTTGTACTATTCCACATATAATGTAATGTCTGAAATAAAACAAAAACAAACAAACAAATAAACAGATAAAAGATTCACATGAACAAGAGGAGCCTATAGAGATTCTGTATAGCTGTTGTTGCAAAAGCAAAATGTGTTCGGCACCACCGTGCACTCAGATCACAATACTGACTGCAGGACAGGTTTTCTTTTAAAAAAAAGTTCACATACTTGTGAAGGCGGACAAGCGTATACTTTTGACAAAATATTGTGGGTCACTGTGTGCTTCTTGGTACATTCAAGTACTCCTGGTGGCCAAAAACGGTTATTGCATTAGTAAGTATGATTTCAGGTATTTAATTTTATAAGTCATCTCTTATGACAGAGAATGATGTAACAAACAGAGAACATTAGAGTATATTATTGCCTTATGATTATAATAATCCTTGCCATTCATGCTCAGTCATAAAACTGACTTTTTGTCCGTGTGTGCTGTCCTCCACAGGGACCTGCTGGTGACCTTGGCCCTGGGTCAGGTCCTGTCCTTGTTAATTTGCGCTTTAGGTCTGACAAGCAAATACCTGGCGAATGACTTTCACGCTAACACTCCAGTGTTTCAGAGCTTCCTCAACTACATCCTGCTGTTTCTGGTGTACACTACCACGTTGGCAGTCAAGCAAGGTAAAGCCACAAGCTAAGATGTGTGAGTGCATAAATCAATATCAATATTCTATCTAGATATCTAATTATAATAAGAATGCTAATAATGAAGATGAGGCAACTGTCTATGTCAATGAATACCAGGGTCTATACAGTCTTTTTTGTGTTGACTTTTAATTCATGTTCAGTTTGAGTACCATCAGGCCTGTTTTATGTTTTGTTTTTATGTTAATATTGTCACAGCCTGCGGAGGCAGACTGTGTGGAGTGTGTGAGGAGGACCCAGGTGGAGACACAGATGAGGAACCAAAACTAAACTTGAACAATAAGCAAGCCTTTATTTTGGGGCTGAAACTCACAAACATAAGACAAGGCAAAATGAGAGAAAACCTAAATTTACACTGGGCAAATTTTAACTATGACTTTAAACTATGATTCTCACTATGATTTTTAACAAGATAACTATGAAAACTGTGACATGATGTGGGTAGCACAGACACAAGACACTGAAGTCAAGAAGACAGAGGGCTTAAATACACAAACGAGGAGATCAATGGAAGTGGAGACACATGAGGAAACAGCTGACTAGAATGAACCTAATGACACCATGGAACACAAGACCCCTTCAAAATACAACAGGAACTATAAATAGGACGCAGACGTGACATGAGCTTGACAACATGAACCACGCAGACATGAGACATGACAGACAGACACACTAACCAATATGGGAGACTTAAACACAGGGGTGGGACACAAGGGGAACGTGATAAGCCATGAACTTACACTGTAACCTAGGCATGACAGAATTTAACCAGATAAGCTGAAATGAAACTAGATTCGCAAATAAATACCAAAATGAAGAGCAGGGATCCAAGCACAGAACCTTGAGGCACATCTTGGTTAACTGGAGTAGACGTGTAACAGACTGGGTGGCTGTAGCTCAGGTGGTAGAGCAGGTCATCTGCTAATTGGTTGTTCAAACCCTCCAGTCTGAATCCTAAATATCCTTGGGCAAGATACTAACCCCAAGTTGCACTCCGATGCATCCACTGGAGTATGAATGTGTGCCAATGTTAGTTAGAAAGCACTTGTATGAAGTGCTTTCTAACTAACTGTCTGTGCAGTCAGCAAATATGCACTTTCATATTTGCTGACTGCAGGTTTCTCCAACTGTATATAGAGTAGAAAAGTGCTTTATGTCCATTTTACTGTTCACAAACTATTGTGTGTTGGACAGATAGGACTGAAAGCAAGAGAGTAAAGCACCGGTTAGTTAGATGAGAAACCGGTGTTGAAGGCTAGAGAAAGGTCCAGGAGGATGAGGATGCTGAGTTAGAGGTTAGTGGTCAGAGTCCACTCCAATAAGAGTGGACATTAGTTATTTTGATGAGAGCCACTCATTTAGCTTGGGAGTCACTTCACCGAGCGCTTCGATTACCACTGGGATCACTGTTACCTTCACCCTCCACATCTTCTTGAGCTCTTCGCTGAGCCCTTGTTACTTCTCAAGCTTCTCATGTTCCTTCATGCCTTCCTTCTGTATTGCTACATCTATCACTAAGGCCGTCTTCTTCTGCTTGTCCAACACTATGTCGGGTTGGTTAGCCACCACCATTTTGTCCGTCTGTATCTGGAAGCCCCTCGGTCATTCTCCACCACCCTTGGGGGAGTTTGCCATTTTGACCTCGGAACTTCCAGGCCATATTCGGCACAGATGTTTCTGTATACTATGCTGGCCACTTGGTTATGGTGTTCCATGTATGCCCTGTCTGTTAGCATCTTGCACCCTGCTGTTATGTGCTGGATTGTCTCTGGGGCATCTTTACACAGTCTGCGCCTCGGGTCTTGCCTGGTGTGATAGACCCCAGCCTCTATGGATCTTGTGCTCAGAGCTTCTTCCTGTGCTGTCATGATTAGTACCTCTGTGCTGTCTTTTAGTCCAGCTTTGTCCAGTCACTGGTAGGATTTCTGGATGTAAGCCACCTCCACTATTTGCAGTTGTACATACCGTGCAGGGGCCTGTCCTTCATGATGGTTCCTCCTCCTCCTCGGGTTTCTGCTGCCTGAGGTATTCACTAAGCACGCTGTCGGTTGGGGCCGTCTTGCTGATGTATTCGTGGATGTTTGTTGTCTCATCCTGGACTGTGGTGCTGAAACTCATGGTTCCATTTGCCTGTGGGATCCCCAAGTACTTGTACCTGTCCTCTATGTCTGCAATGTTGCCTTCTGGTAGTTTGATCCACTCAGTTCTGACTACCTTCCCCTCTTTTTGTTATCATCTGACTACACTTCTCCAGTCTGAACTACATTCCGATGTCATTGCTGTATATCCTGGTGGTGTGGATCAGTGAATCGATGTCT